TCGTAATGCAGATTGGCCAGTAGCAATGTCGACGATAACTTCTTCCTTTTTTGGACTTAAATCTAATAATGACTTATCCATTGGGGAAATTACTATACAATCGCTCAAATGTTTATGTACTCTAACTGAATGTTGTTTTTTTTCATTATTTTTAAGTCGTTTCAACTATAACATACACAACATAATTTTAATAAAAGAAACAACAAAATGTAAAAATGATTTACATAGTATAATCAAGTAAAGTTATTTATTTGAAATAAATTATTAACTAATACATATATGCAGTACGAATATTTGGTAGCTGAACATTCATATTGAATGGACTACGTGTCTATAAAAATCAACGATATGAATTAGATGTGGATGTAATTTATTTTTTATAATTATATATGTCTTAATGATATTTTCACAATCAATTTAACCCTAACCTAACCATACAGTTAACCCCTAACCTAACCTAACCCCTAACCTAACCATACAGTTATCGTAGGACAATTATGATATTTTAAAAACTATAACATAAGTGAATGCTATTCTAAAAAGTATAAGAGCCGTATTCATAATCGATGCTTATGAAAAAGTATTGCTTAAGCTAATTTTGATAATTTAAAAATAAAAATTTGTGATTATAACGAACACAATGCTTAAGGTAGGTCTTGACCAACCTTAATTTATGTAATACTTTTTCTTTTCTTAAGCCAAAGTCTCGTTTATGAATTTTATTTGAGTCATAAGTATAGCTTATGTACTTTTTCTTAAGCATCGACTATGAATCGGGGCCCTAAATTAATTAAGAATTTTAGGTAAGGAAATTAATGAAATTAATTACAATATATACATTACATTTGATATTTGTTCGTTTATGGAAGTCATAACTTCTAAAGGCGTGATCTTCAAGGTGTTTACTCGGAAATATGAGTTTAAAGGTGCAGAAGTCAACCATTGTGATACTTCCTAAGAACAAAAACAATAGTGTTTTATTAAAATCAAATGATTTACACAAACAACCTAGAAGATTTATTTCTCAGAGATAAATCTCCTCAGAGAAGATTTACTATAACAACAACAAATTTATAACAATAATAATAAATGCATATTACATAATAATATTATATATTAAAAATGATTAATATTAATTACAAAGCTTTAACTAACCTTCCAAAATATAAATATAGATAGGTAGTAAATATTAAATTGTAACATAGTTTCATTAATTTTCTAATAAAGCTCTTATAGCTAAGTACGCATCAAATAAGTTAATTGGTCAATGAAAAACAATATTAAATATTAATGTACCAAAGTGTAATGACAATAAGAGAAATCTTGGAGAAAAATAAATCTAAATTTATGTAATTTTATTTAACAATATTTTAAATATTAATTGTCATTCTGCATTCATCTTATTCATCATTTTTTCTGTTTTTAGGGGCCACATTTTGATAACATGAAAATATAAAATATACTAAAAAATGAATAATATATACTGCATATCCTAGTTACTACCTATACATCATTAAAACTAACTAAAAATAAAATTATTATTATTATTATATTAAAATTCATAATGTTTACCTACTTCCACAGATAGGTTTCTAGTTTTGTAGATACTTTTTAATAAATTCAATAAATATTCATCCAAATTGTGAGGACGGACAACTTGTGCTTGTCTCATCATTTTCTTCGTATATGTAGGGAAGTAAAACAATATATTATAGTATTATATTATTAGTGTGTACAATGTTATCCCCATAGATAATTCTTCTATTATCTATGGTTATCCCTTATTCAATTAATTTCTGCACAGACATTGATACCTACCTATATATTATGTAGTTAATTAAATTAATTTTAAGCTTGTTAATAAAGTACTGAGTTGGTACCTACAAAAGTACCAACTAGGTAATAAAAGTTTTTGAATTTTTGAGAGACTGAACTGTGAGATCTCTGGTCTTAATAACACAATATTATCTTTTTATCGTTCGTGCTTAAATCGTGGTTTGAAATTGTTCCTAACCTAAGTGATAACCGATGCCGGGGCCATAGATAATAAATACATATAGATAGTAGATAACCATTAACCATGAACTCGTCTTGAGTTGACACCGTGAACGACCACCTATATAGAATATTTCCCTCTAGCAATTAAAAAAAAAAATTATGAAATTTTGTTGATTTTACAAGGCGGTATCGTTTTTCCCGCAGAGTGTATTTTTGAGGACAAAATGGCATCGGCACCGGGCGCCTTAACAAATTTTTAGTCAATGCGGCCCCTCATGACTTGAACGGCCCAGAATTGTCGCGGAGCACCGAATTTTACTCGGTTACTCGCGGGGCCTGTGTGTGGCCCACACATAGGCGTGACTAGACTTTATTGGCAGGGGCAGCCTAGAAAATAACCGGCGGTAGCTTATTATAGTGAACGGAAAAAAGCCCTGTACACCCAAAGCCGTATTTTTTTAAGCCCTCCCCCCTCCACAATGAAATATTTCCATAATTTCAAAAAAAGTCTAAATTATCTATTTACAATAATAATCTACGGTAACTCCAGAAATATTAATCATCCTTGGATTACCTACACCACCTAGCTACAAACAAAAAATAATACAACAATAATATCAATAATACCTAGATGCGTACTGTATCGTCGTCGTCTGACCTGACTCAGGTCTCTATAGTGGGTTTTTCTGATTTCGGAAGTCAGGAAATCAATCTTTGTAAGTAAATGGTAATTATAAACGATACCCCTACCCACAAAAAACTCAAGTTAAAAAAAAAGAAAAAGAAATGTTATAATATAACCCTCAAGACTTAAAACTCGGTTGATCGGCACCTGTGAAAAATTGCAGGGGCAGCCCAGGCTGCCACCGTAGACACGCCTATGGGCCCACAGACTTCTATACTGCACTGAACTATATAGAAATCTGTGGTGTGGCCAGGCCCGGCCATTAGGGTACGTACCCCGTACACAACTTTGAGGCCGCAAATTCATATTTTCGTAATGCGCAAGTGTGTCATTACTGTCATTTGGTTCATGGCCTATCTAGTATCTATAAAAAATTAAGAAGACGCCACACCCGCATGTGTTGTCTCGGTCTTACAAAAGCGTAACACACCAAATTTACACTTTGGAGCCAACATATGAGGGTGTGGCGTCCTCTTAAGTAACCCTTAGTTAGTATAAGGTCTATGTTAGTACACTTGTGCAAGAGAATAGATTACATTCTATAAATTAGATTTAATGTGGTTGTACCCCCCCACTTCCACGATAAATATCTTTATACAGGTTATTTTTTAAATAATGATCTGTACATTTTACATACGCGGGCAATTAAAATACTAAACACAAAGTTCAAAATCTGTAGAAAAAACATTTATTTTTTTCCCAAGCCAAAATTAATGTAATTAAACAATGCACATCTTCATGATAAATTTATTTTTTTGTATTTTGCTATATATATAGTCATGTACACTGATAGCGGTAGATGTACCCCTTCCTATGGTGAAGTATATAGCTGATTTTTGGAGATTTACTGCGAACTTCACTCTGAAGACCAGTTTCTATACAGTGTTGAGTAACCTGTATATCCTAAATAGTGCCAACAAATTAAAATTGTTTGATTTTAAATGCAGCCGTGCATAGACCTCTAAAGATTCAGCAAAAACAATATTCTCCTTTTAATGTTATCCGTGGTAATTACTTCAACAGATTTCTAACTTTGAACTTCGTGTTTAAATGTCTTTTAATTGCCTACATAAGTAAAATGTACAGCTAAATGATTGTTGTGATTCAACAAAACTAACAACTCAACTAAAACAATTAATTTCTAATATATCATTGACATTTGACAATAATAACAAATATAGAATTATAGAAATATAGAATTTAAACTTAAAAACTAAGAAAATTGTACGATTATAATCATACTTTAAAATAAAAATACATACAATAGTAACAACATGAATGTATTATCATAGTTTCCATATTAAGCGGTGGTTATAAATATAATTTTAATACAATTTCTAACAAATGTTTTTAATACTCTTAGTTTCTAAAATTGTCAACTAAAAACCTTAAAAAATTCCAAAACAACATTAACAATTTTAAACTTATTATTTCTTTACAATTTCATAGAATATGAGATGACTGTTAATTTACACTATTTTAAATTGTATAAATTAAGAAATTAAAATGTATAATTAAATATATTCCTTATAAAATAGAGAAGAACATAAATTTACTCACATTTTCAATTATACGATTAAGGTATTAAAATTATTGTGATATATTATGAGCACGAATTAGCAATTTGTACTTGTAAATTTAATTAAAACTTATTTCTGTATTAAGTTAGATTTTAAAATAATTATCCGAAGAACATAAAATTAAATATTGAATAATTTATTATACAATACTGAATAAACACGTATACTTCTTTTCTTAAAAGTAAAAGGGAAACAAATGGTTTGGAATTTTCATAAACTTCAAAATAAGTCAATATAAGTTAAACAGTGTTTTCATTATTTGTATATAAATAAAACTAGCCAAAATCATAAAATGATGATTTCATGAAATTTAGGACTACAAACACAACTATAACTATAGCTGTGTTTGTAATAATACACATTTTAATTATTATTATCAACAAATACTGATACTATAAAATCATAATTTTTTAGTACAAATGCATTGTTGTGAAATATATGAAATTTGATATTCATAAGAACTCAAATGAATACTTATGTATGTAATATGTATATTTTACAAAAAAACAACATTCATTTTGTACTATAAAGGAACTTTTTAAAAGCATGTCTTGTTTAAAAGATGAATTTTGTTAATAAGGAAAGTATTTGTTCCTTGAATTAATTTTATTAATAACTAATCGTATATCAATTTGGTAATAATAATTAAAATTGTATTGTGGTTAAAAATATGAATTTGGCTTGTTTGTCAACACCTAAATTCCTAAGCTTCTGTCAAAACAGCAGAAACAAAAGAATTAGAAAGTTTGTCCAGCCTCTTTATAAGTAGTGAAAATTTTCTCAATTGAATTGATATAAGCGGCAGTACGAAGATCAAGGCCCAAGTTATATTTCATAGCAGTTTTCATAATAGCTCGAGCTGAACGTTCCATTGTATAATCTAATCCAGAATGCACTATATCTTTTTCAGATGCTCCTGATATACGTTTTTGGAAGGATTCAGAAGGAGTGACAGGGATTCTTCCTCCCACACGACCAAAACGACGTTCCAATGACTCTTGCACAGATTCTACAAAAAGTTAATTTAAGTTACACTGTTATTATTACTATATAATATATTTTACCTAATAAATGGTAGTTTGATTCACGCTCATATTGAACGTTTAAGCGACCATAAGAAACATGGTCAAATTCTTTAACCATTCAAAGAATGATACAGTTACACCACCAGCATTTATATATAAATCTGGCACAATCAAAATATTTCGTTCTATTAGAATCTTATCTGCAGCTGGTGTTGTTGGGCCGTTAGCAGCTTCACCAATAATCTAAAAAATAGTTTTGAATAATATTAACATCAAATGCTTTTTTATTTAACTATCTTTAATGTTTTATCTACTTTTGCTTGGATCTTATGAGCATTAGCTGACGTTATGACTTTTTCAGTTGCAGCTGGTACTAATATATCACAAGGTTCGTACATAAGGTTTTCACCTGTGTATGGCTGAGCACCTGGGAATCCTAAAATAGTACCATTGTCAATTCTCCAATCTTCTAATGCCTGAAATAAAAATTATTGTTAAGCTTATATATTATTTAATTTATATAAACACAAGGTAATTACTTTAGGATCAATTCCATCTGGGTTGTAAATAGAACCATCATGTTCAATTACACCAATGCATGTAGCACCTGCTCTGTGTAAGTAACGCATTGAATGTAATCCAACATTACCGAAACCCTTGAGTAATAAAATTATAATTAAAAACCATACAAAAAATTAAAGACAATATAAAAATAATGTGAACTGACTTGAACAATAAAAGTTTTTCCACCCCATCCAGGTGTGGTACCAATTAAGCTCATATAATTGGCCTCCATAATGAAATTTTCTAATCCGTGGAAAACACCTCTACCAGTAGCTGATACGCGACCATGAATTCCACCTTGATAATTGGTTACCAGTTACACAAGCATGAGCGTTAATGTCCAAATGCCCTAGTAAAAGATAAATTGTAGTACTAATGGTTTACATAATATAATAATTAATAGATGGTTCGACCTTTTGTTGTTGTTAAGGTTATCATACCATGTCATTCAAGAACTATAATAGAAAAAGTTGAAACTCATTATAAAGTATGAATGTGAATTGATAATATAAAAATATATGAGATACAATTAATAATAAAAACAAGAACATTATTGTTATATAATTATAAAGATAATATACCATAGTTTTAGCATATGTATCAGCTATCCATGACATCTCACGTTCACCCGGTTTCCCCATATCTGCGTGCAGGTTACATCTACACCGGGTCCTAAAAATGAAAATAATTTATGAGATTAAAAATAAATTATATTTAATTAATATATTGATAACCTTTGTATTAACATAATAAATGGTATAAAATAAATAAATAAATGATCTGCAAGAACGCTTAATTTATAACTAATTTGTTTCCTATTAAAACCCCTACATTTTCAATACCCCTATATAGTCATCAATTGAGCTACCCCTATTATTTATGCATGGCGTTTCCTACAATATTTCTCACGCTGTGGTTTGACATACTTTCTTTTGAGGTCACGCATGAATAAACTTTATTTTGAACAACAAATTTGTTTGATCACTTAAAATAAAGATTATTTAAAATTAAAATATGTTTACATACTAACCAATGAATCCTTTTTTAGCTAATTCCAATGTAAACCGTCTGGTAATTTGCTCTAATTCATTTTCTGAATACAATTTTGGATTTATTTTTATACCCGCTTTTGCACCTCCAAATGGTACATCAACACAGGCACACTTGAAAGTCATCAAAGCAGCTAAAGCTTTCACTTCATCTCGAGAAACATCCAATGAAAAACGAATACCTGTAATAAAGTTAATAAATTAATAGTTCGTACCTACACATAATTTTCCTTAGATGCTAGTTTTTATTTCCTAGACGTAATTTTTATTTTAAGTTAATGATATCAATAAACTAAATATTAAAATTGTATATATTTAATAATTGTTATTTATTTGGATTTCATTAGCATTAGGCACAATAAATTAATCAATAAGATAGCAATCTTAAATATACCTAACTAATTTTTAAACAGGATTTAAAATGATTTTTATTATGTTTCTACTTTTAAATTGTTAGATTTAATTGTATTATAGATTATCATAGTAAAAAAAAATTAAAGATATCTTGTTCTTAAATATGACTCAACGTATAAGAGGCTCATAAATCAAAATAGGTACCTACATAATATCAAATTATTAACTTTAAACTGTTCAAAATGGAACAAATCGATTATTATGAGTACCTATCTAATCTAAAATATTACTAATTAATGTACATACTTTGTACTGTTTTTAATTTGGATAATACACCATATTATTTGTGTAGATATTCAGTTTTTTATAATATGTAAAGTAAACATAATTAAAGCGGAAGAATAGATCATTAAATACTATAATCTAGGTACTAATATGAGATTTTATAATTTCTGTAAAATTATTTTTAATTTGAGTAGATAAGTAATTACTTAATATTTTTTTATACTTACAACACTTCTTAAAATATTTACATCAAAACGGGAATCATATTATTGATCAAAGATTAGAAAAAGTTGTAAAACAAGATTTTCTTTAATAAATCAGTTAGGTATTTAGATAGGTAGCTTCCATATATTATTACTTAACATAAATGACTAGGTATAAGGTAGAATCTGTCTACTATTGTCAATGTTTTTGATGACTCATCCTTAACTTTATAATTATCCTCAGAAAAAAAAAATAAATACTACGACCACATCATTATGGACACTAAAAGACCTTGCAACTTGCATATTTAATTTTTAGCATTTGTTAAGTGGTTTTAATTTTAAAATTTAAATAGTGTACCTATTAGTATTTAAAAATAATATACTCACAATAATTACACCAACTGTTCATTTAAGAAACAATTTCAGACATTTTATGTTTATAATAATTCTTAATGTGTATTGTATTTTCATTACTGAATAATGTCAAAACAATAAGTAGTTACTATTTGATGCTATAATATGCAATGTTTAAATGAGTACATAGGTACAGTATATTTTTAACTTTATTTTTTTTTTTTAAATACCTTACAATAGGCAGTTTAATTTATATTCAAACTTATTTTAACAAGGACTTACTATATTACTTAATTACATAATTAAACACCTACCTCGACACCTACCGAATCAGTTTTTTATTTTCTAAAATATTAGATAAGTACATCATAAAAAATTTAAATAAATACTAATTGTATATTTAAGTGCATTTACTAACCTCCTTTGCACGGTGTTCTATGTGTACTGTGTTGTGCACGGTATCCCGTAATCATCTCGTAGTCACCGCTGTCCCTGCGCACCGGGAAAGATGTCTCCAGGATGTGATCGCACGGCTGCATGCCCAACAATATTCCCTTGACTTTTTTCCTCTTGTCTTCCACGGACATCTTGGCTTTGATGTCCTCGACCAGCTTGTCCTCGGCCACCTGACACGCACGGTGGAAGAAATATTCCACCATGTCGAAGAACCTGGGGTTCTCGGCCGTGGGCACATCCTTGAGGTGGTCCGGCATCTCGTGAAGTCCACGAGCAGACGACACGGACGCCGTCCTCAGAACGCTCTCCGAAACGTTACGTCCCAATCGGCTAAGGTTGTACATGGTGACAATGGCGGTTGGTCGTGCGTGGGGTACGTAGTCGATAAAACTAAAGAAAAAAAATGCAAAACGACCAGAAGACACCACCGGACCGGACGCCTAAAAACGAAACAGTAAAATACAATTAACAGGCGATCAGAGGAACGGGAGGAGACGGCTGGCGCATACTTGGCAGCTGCTGGTGTACAACTAACGACGGCGGACGAATCGATATGCCGGTGGATGTTTAGTTTATTGTTGTGTAACAGTTTACCGGACGGTGCCTCGACAGCAGCTACGAAGACGACAGGTCGGCAATATTGTTAGGCTGTATACGGCGGTGATCGGACCGCGGTGTTCGGTCTGGCAATATTGCAAAAAAAATTTAATACGGCGGAAACGGGAGGGGGATCAGAGCTTATGTCGTGGGGAATCGGATACGAATTCGCGCGCGTGCGTGTCGGGTCTGCGGTGATGTTGTATAATAAATTACAATTCCGCGTAATCGTGGGCTCGTAACCGCGGTCGTCAATGTCGGGGTACCGCGATGATACGGCATGCCGGATGTCTGGACGTTTTTGATTTTTGGCGGGAACGGTATCGTCTTATCACAGAGACACAGAGAAACGACCTTCCGGAACTTGTATAGTTCACTAGTTCAGTTAAGGCACTGTAGAGGTTAGGTTAGCTCTACAGGGCCCTAGTTCAGTGGCGTCGGCCTGTCGCCTAGTTCTCTTGTTGTGTGCTGAAGACATAACTACAAGTTACAACCGAGTACGGAGAACCATTGAATAATAATAGAACCACAACAACTATAGAATTAACTGCAACGTCAACTATTACAAAAACGAGGACGAGTGACTGAAGAAGATTGTTTTTAATTATTATTTGATGTACCTTATTGAAAACTATGGAAGATTCCATACAGCGCTTGGAACAAGTCGTGAGTACCTAATGAGTCAATATCGTGCCTCCTTTAACGCTGTCTGTTATTTATTATTTCTGTTAAATACTTCTCGTTTGCAGACGACCAGTGTCGAAAAAAGAATAGACACTTTGGGTTGGAAAATAAAAAAAATTGAACGGGTTCTGTTTTCAGAAAACGAAGGATACCAATCGGTAAGTACAATATTGTTAACTATTATTTAGGTAACTACAGTAAAACTTCCGTTAACGTTCACCTCTATACGACGGTCACCCCTATGTAACGACTAATTTTTTTGGACCCACCGAGTGTTATTCTATTGTTTTTCTACCTCTGTAGGACGGGCATCACTAAATAGCGGTCATTATTTACAGTCCCTTCGGTGACCGTTATATGGAAGTTCTACTGTATTACATAAAGTGCTCGAATTGCAACAAAAATTGAGGGCGGACTCTGATTTTAGTTCAGGAAACTCCATTCCATAGCGGATAAATTTTACAGTGACTTAAATTAAACAATAAAACATCAACGTTATAATATTTAGACTCTTATCTTATATTATTGTTTAGTATAGTATATGTGACATTGTTACGTGCGTTTCCCGTAAATCCACCCGAAATTGATTCCGCGATTAGTTACCTACGTCAAATAATAAATTATGAAACAAATAATATTATTAAACGGCGTTATAGGTATATTTTGTACTGTCATTAATCGTCTTCAATGATAATCCATTTTCCAAGTAATAGTATTAATTGATTTTACTTATAAATTTATTTTATTTTTTTTTTTTATTTCGCAGACTCACATATACAAACTATAAAATTTTGTACAACAAGCATATTTGGTAAGGGTTAAAAAACATGGATTTCTTGATAAGATGCCCCTATTAGTGACACTTAGCTTGGTGTTATAATAAATTTAAGAAAATAAAATATGTTTGACAAGTCATTGTTGCTATATATTATTATTGGTACCATATCGACTGTCGATGACAAATTACAATAACCGTTTCCTGCAAAAATATAACCATTTCTTTGCTAGAAGTAATAAATTAAAACAAAAATCAAATGCACCATTCAAAAGTAAACATCGCCAGAGAGGGGCCTCGTTTCTAGCGTTCCTCACTCAATTAAATGAAGGGGAACGCTGGAATCTATGAAAAAATGGAAGCAGACTCCGTATGCCCGCGTACCCCCCCCCCCCACACACCCACACACATACAATTGGAGCACTGATTACATAATAATATTATGTTATAATGTAGCATTCATATTGTTTTGTAGTTCTAATTGAGATGATTTATTAATTGTTTTCATTAAACTTTGCTTTTGATTAAAGTTAAATTAGTATTGCCCTCAATACTATTTTAATTTTATGATAATATATTAATATTACATAGTAAGTCATACAAGCCCTAATCAAAATACTTATTTAAGTTATCAATACAATAAAATAAGATTGTTTAAATAAAATAGTGAATTCAAGTTGAACATTTTTAATTAATCAGGAGGTTAATGAACGTTTAGGTTAACTTTTATTTGTATTTATTTGAATAAGAATTGAGTTTTAATTATGTCAATAAGCATAAAGTAAATTGAAAGCTAACTAGAAGTTGCTCGATTTGGTTTTAATAACAGTATATTATTATGATTTCATCTACTGACATAATAATCATAATATTGTAGCTATGGTCCAAGTGTTCAACTGTGTTTAAGTGTGTTTTTACTTATTATTACCCATCAAACTGATTATTTAAAAATTATATTTTGAGTGAGCATCAAAAAACATTCTTACACTCCAGCTGATAAATTGCTAGTTGTGACACTGTTCATTACTTCTAATAAATTCAAAAAATAACTCTTGAAACTAAAGTAATCAGTTAGATAACATGTTCAATTAAAAATTAGGTTAAATAATGAACCTTAATGTATGATATTATTATTTTATTTATAATTTAGCGTAACATGATATCCAGGATGACCAATTTAGAAGAGACATGCCGTAAGTATAATGAAGTAATATTGATGTTGACCAACCATAAAAAAGAACAAATTGCATACGCTGATACTTTACAACTTCAAGTAAATTTAGTAAAAAGCAAAGTCGAAACTTTACGAGCAATGATGACAAAAGGAAAAACAATTGAGCTTTAACTTAATAATCTAGTTATTATTATATAAATAAATAAATGTAAGCAAAGATGATTTTTTTATATTATAATATATTTATTTTTTTATTTTTTTGTAATTCACTTAATCATGGATCTAAATAAATAATTTTTAAAAATTTTTACCTATTAACAAACTTTTCATCAAAGTAAAATATTGTAGGCAGTTTAACAAGAAGTGAAATTGAATATTTCAATATTTGTTAAGATATTTTGAATAAATGAACAATAATATAATATTTTATTTTTGTGATTGTTGCCCTTGAATAAAATAATAGCAATCACCCATCATCTGGCAATATACCATGTTATTAATGTTTTACGTTTAAGGAAGTCAATTAACCTTGATCCCACCTAAATTGACCGTACCTATATTTGAATTCTTTTTATATGAGATAATAGTCTACACACTTTTGTTATTTATTACAATATTTCCATAAGCGACACAAGATAAATCTGTTCATAATATTAGCCACTCTTGTAAGTTGTAATAGATGTAACCATGTAAGACTGTATATAAGAGCATGGGATGGACCAAACTCAAAACATTAATTTAAAAATATTAACAACTCGTGCAGAGACTCCTCTGTACTACCTAATTACTTAAAATTATTAAATTCATACCAAAACTATTCAAAATACGTAAATATTTTGAATAGTCATATTATTATATTTCTGTAGCCTGTAGGCCTTAAACGGTGTAACTATTTACTTTCTGTAGTGTATAACAAAAATCGTCTCGTGGAAAACCGGTTTAAGGCGCGTACTTATAATACGTACCTATAGACATGCACTTATGCGTCGTGTTAAACTCGTGTAACAAGAGCTTAAGACGATTAAACATTGACGATAAGATTTTTCCAGACTCGGGTTTTAATGAGCTGAACACTAGTGTCTAGAACAAAATAATTTAACATCGTACTATAGATATAGCATATGGACAAAATATAAAGCAGCTAGGTACATAATACACCTACTTATTATTTATCTACGATGATAAAATATAGGTAACGTTATAAGTTGAATTTTAAATAAGAATATCAGTAGATATAATGTAGTTCTGTAATGCCGCGTACGTATTGCCACACATTTGAACTTTCGAATTCAAATGATTTCGCTGTAGGTAATCTTCTAACTCTTAATAATATAGACCATAATATTATTATATTATACCTCGTTTGTAATTATTTGTAGACCTATTAAAATACCAAATACATACATTATATAGGTATTTATAATTTATGTACATCGTAATTCGTATTCGTATATATATATATATATTATGCACAATCAGTGGCGCCATGAGTTTCTATTTTATCTATAGAAATAAGAACTAGGAACCACAAGTATTATATTATTTACATTTTACAATGGTGTGGGTTTTCTTTAGAATTTCGAGAGTAAAATTTAAAAATTTCCCAGTAATTTAAAAAATGGCCGGGGAATACAAACATCGATTTTGTTTCTAGTCGTAATTAAGAAATAAATAACTATAGACTAAAGGCATTTAAAATTTTCTATTTTCACTTAATTGTATAATACCATTTTTGTTTTAGACTAAAAAATTTTAATTCAAGGTGCCTCGCCTGTCGTCATAAGTTGTCTATAACCCAAGCAAAAAATATTCAAAATACCTACAAAGTAACAGAGTTTTCATAAGAGTTTAAAGTTAAAATTTTTACAAAATTCATCAAAATCACGAACATTTATAAATTATTTTATAGTTAGAAATTCATAATATTATTTTAATTTTAACACCTGAAGGATGGCTGAAAATTTAATACGAGGTACTTACATCATACGTTTTTTTAACTGGAATTTAAAAAAATGTAAGTGTGGTGGAAAAGTCACGTATTAATGCTTTTTTGCGCGATCAAAGTCTCATTTCGATTACATTTGATATCCAAACATCTAATAACGATTTATCTTCTAACAAATTTTGTTATTTTGTGATATTAAATATTAATAATTAGAACTTCTTGAAACATTCCACTTTTAATTTAATTATAATTTTCTGTACACAATGAAATTTTCAAAATATTTTGACTAATTTTAATAATATATTTATACCACAAACCTATTCACACCGTTCTATAATACTGTTATAGTGTTATAGGTAGGTACCTCCGTATTGAATTATAAGTTATAATGAAATAATATTATAATAATTACTATTTAATAAGAGAATACGATTTGTTTTTTCGAAAAAATGAATTCAACCTATCCGGCTATCCCGTATTATACTAACGGAAATTAATTACAAATATTTAACTAGCAATATATGTTTACAACCTATATAGGCTATAACATATATATCCCATAGAAATATAGACTGATGGGAGAATAGTTTATCGTATACTTGCATGTTTTATCAAATTGAATACAAATTTAAGTATTTAAGATTTAACATAGTATTAAATTACATATTCATTACATTAACCTACTACGTCTTGGGCTTTGTTCAGTGGACACCTACATAGACCTGCGACCCAGGGCTTGGAACTGAAACTAAAAACACCGGTATTGGCCCTGGCGGTATTTAAATCAGAATACAATTTGTCGATTTTTTTTTTTCGTAACCTGAACCGGTGCCAATTTATTTTGTTGGTAAAGAATTTTTTTTTTTTGTAGCAATATTATTTAGGTATTTTATTTATTTAGATTTTAGATAATAATAATTGGTTCATTGAATTGGGTTGTACATATTTTTTAGGTACAGCATGGGTTAAGTAGGTACCTATTATTAACACAAAATATGATTTTTATAGAGAAAATATATCTGGAATACATTTCATTCATTTTAACCTAACTTTTACAAAGTTTCAACATATAAGCCACAAGGAGACAGACTCACAGCTATAGTGTAAGTTAATCGAGGAACTGATCAGGAGACATGTACACAATCACAATGGATTTTATTGAGTAATGACCATTCATATAAAGTTCCCTTTTCAATCATTCAAAATTATGTACATACATTGGTCGTGTGTTGCAGTTTACAACTACAAAGTTTTAGCATTTTTTTTTACTGTTGGTAAAAGCCGATATTCGAAGATGAATAAAGTTTAGTTTCATACTTTCATAGATATATATTATATATGAAGTCCGTAAGTAATTAACTCCGTATTTACCAAAGACGGAACTGCTTGTTGAGGAATAATTTAACCAATAAAAATATATTACTTACCTAAATGTACATAAATTCTACCAATTATTTTATATACTATTTCTTGCAATTAAATGAATAAATAAATAAATAGTTTGCTCCTCCAAAAGTTTGCTCCTCCAAAAGTGCTCCTCACTACACTTTCTTTATATGTATTTAAATATTTATTGACGCCCAACGATGCATTTACAAATGACGATAAATAAACTTAAAATGCTTATACATTTCAAATTATATCTGAATATCAAAATATTTTTATTTAGAATACTAAATCAAATGATGAAGGTAGATTTAATTTGGTTAGGTTATAGTTACTCAGAAGGATTAGGTCATAGATAAAAGATAAAGGATTAGGTCAAGGCCTATTTGATACGGCCACACTATGAATCTAATATCTATCAGGTATGTAATTCATATTGGACAAGTGCTGGGTACCAATACTACCATGAAAAAACCGGTAGGTACATCTAACCACGAAAATATTTAAAATAATAACTGTTTAATGGATACCTAATGAAAGTATTTATAATTTTTGACAGTATTTTTATAACTAATGAAAAATAAAATTTACAATATTGTGAAATTTATAATAGAAAGGTCGAAGACCCCACAAGCGTATGCCGTAATCCAGACGCTATACGACCAGTGGCGTCATTTCAATTTTTGAGAGGGGGGGGGAATTTTTGACCAGCTCATAATAAAACTGAAACAAAAACCGTTCACCAACAATTACATTACAGTTTAAATTTTACCTCAATACAAATAACATTCTTACATAATTTCATTCCTACTAGTTGCCCAAAAATGGGCTACTAATAAGTAATAACCCATTTTTTTGAGAGATAACAATGACTAAATAATTAATACATACTATTTAGAGGGATACCTACCCAAATATATTACCTATTAACTACTTATATGAAGGCCCAAAACTAGCCCATACCTACGCGTCTCGACAGCGGCCCACTAATGACAGTGGGTGGGTATATGACGCCCCCCCCCCCCCCAAATTACTCTGTACTGCCATAGACTCAATTTCAACTTTTGACTTGGGGGGGGGGGCTGAATATATATTAAAGGCAAGCAGACCATTGGAATATAGCATTTTAAAATTGTATGTCCTAGGTTTTTTTCACCAATTTGCGCCTATGTATACTGCGCTATACTAAGAAGCGTGTGCAATTTAAAAATGGCAAAAATAGGTTCTGGTTATTGGTCAGGTAAGTGCCTATAGTATAAAACGAACATTCAATCCATGCAGACACATTAAATCGTTATTATGTGTGTGAATGCCTGCAAGGAATCAATATTATAATATACCGTGATATATCTATCTATACCTACGTGAATGTGTCATAATTCTGAAAAATGCATGTATTAATACTTAAATGCTTAAATATTATATGTGCTTATTATATATGGCTGTATATTTTATTTTTTTATGTATTTAGTATTTATTATGGTATACCTATATAGACATATAGTTGAGGACTTAAACACTTACCTATCATACAATCGAAAACAACATTTTAGCAAGCATATACAGGGTAATTCACCTAGCATGCTCACCCCTCAGCCCTATTTTTCTTCTTAATATTAAATATTTTCAAGTAAAAAAGGTGGTTCACATTTGAAAACAGAAGTTTGTACTTTGTATCACCATAGGACACTATTTAAGTAGGTAGGTACTACAAAAAAATTCACGAATATAAAACAATGGTCTTTGAACCTTGAAATTTAAAAATTCCAAAAATTTAAATTTAAATTAATTAATTTTATAGGAAAAAATAGGTGTGAGCATGTTTGGTGAATCACTCTGT